ATTTAACCCTTACCTGGCTCCTTTTTTGTTTTGTCAATGTAAGAAATATTCAAACACGTAGAGAATTTTTGTGAGTTTATTTGAGCCAAACTGACAATTTCAAGGAAGCAAAATCTCAACAGGTTTGAGAAAGTGCTCCAGAAAGTGGCAGTTTTGCATCTTATTTTATACATTACAATCAAAAGAGAAGACATAAATGGGTTACATGAAATTCACTGGTGATAGATTAGGGAGGTGGGAGAAGCCAAAGAGGGGAAACCTCTGGGATTGGATAAAAAGTAAAATGATATATGCTTCTTTTACATAGGTGAGTACAGGATAGTTAACAGTCAACAATTAACATGATTTGCAGTGTGCTCTGGTGCAATGCCTGTGCTTTGAGGGATGAGGGGTGGGGAAGTAAATTACTTTGTTATTGCAAAGGCAAGTTTTCAGGTATGTTATCCTAGATGCAAAAAGACAACAGACAGGCTTAGTTAAGATGAAGATTGCCCTTTGTTAGGGAGAAATACTGTCTTAGAACGTGACTACCTACCATGAGCCACTTTTAGTTTAAAAGTTTTAATATCAGACCATCGTATGTTGTTACTTTAGGTCTCTGAGTTTGTAAGGCCGACATGCAGGACTCTCCTGAACTTGTCAGGTTAGCACATGGCCCCTTTTTGTCCGTAGTTTCAAGAATTGAACTGCAAAGGAAATGGTGGCTATTACTGACTGGTGGGTGGTAGGGTGGGGGGAAGACTGTTACCTTTCTGTTCCTGTGGCTTAGAAGAGAATGACTAATCCTCTCTGTCAACACAGCCACTAAAAAAGTAACAATGACTATGGGAAGATGCAGCCCTTCTCTGGTAATCAGAGAAAGACAAATTTTATCCACAGAAAGAAGGGGCCACTTTTGACTTCTGGCTTTAACAATGACAAAAATGAGTGACAGGGCCGGGTGTGGTGGGGGGTGGGAAGTTGATTAGCCATTCCACTTCTGCAGCACAGCTGGTGGGAGGGGAAAAATGGGGACCAGAGTTGGAGGGTGACATAATATTCACGTGACCAAGAGCTGACGTGAAGTTCCTATATTCTCAGATTTCTTTCTCCTCTAGGTACCAGCTCCTTACTGCAGGCATTGGTGCTTGTGGCCTAGAGAAGGAGGACGTGAATTCCTTAAATCCCAGCAGGTTGGTGTGAGGGAACTGTTGGTCCCCCTGGGGTGGTAATGGCTGAATCTAATGGCTTTCCCCAAACCTCTGCAGTCTTATTGGAGATAATTGTATTTTTTGAAAGTGGGTAGGAGGGGAGGTTGAAGTAGGTGGAAGTCTCCTGAAAGACACTCGGAGATTCAATGACAGTTTAGAAGTAATCAGCTTCTCTCAGATTGGTAAGCTTTCTCTTTATCCATATCCTTCTCTTTCCAATTCTGTTGAAGGAAACGAGGTGTGGGCTGGTGTGTGGAGAACGGCTGGAATTCTGGGGTGCAGACAGAGAAATTTAGAGATAGATATAAAATAATTCCTCTCATTCAACGCCAGCCTGAGAGGGTGGGGAGGGAGGAAACAGTGGGCCTTGCAAGGACTAGGCCCAAGGGTTAGGGGTTTAGGAGTGGAGACAGAGATCCAGGAGGAAGGGATAGGGACCGGAGGGGAGCCAGGAGGTAGGAAATGTTGGGCAACGATGGTTATGAGGGTCCTGGATTCCAAATAATAATGTTCCTCTTACTGTTGGGGCTGGTGAATCCCCCAGAGAACTCTCCCTTCCCCTCCCCCTTCCTTTCTGTCTGCAGGTCCCAGGATCTGGGTTCACAGACATCTCCAGGCAAGAAAAAGAGGAAGAAACTATCCCTATTTCTCACCGGTCAGAGAGAGGGAAATACTACACCTGGGTCTCTGAGGGTGGGTGTTGGGAAGGTAGAGAGCTGTTAAAATTTGCAGGCTCACAGCTCACTCTTGGTCTGCCATTAGCCTTGTCTGCTGGATAAATGGTGGGTTGCTGAGGGAGGGGAAAGTAGAGAAGGGGGGAGGTTTGGGAAGGGGTGGAATCTCAAACTTCTGAGGGCTGGACCTGTTTGGCAGAGGTGGGGAATTAGGTGAGCATCTTGCTTCAAAGAGAAATTGACAAGCAATTTTACTCTACATTTTCTCCCTAGACTTAAGCAGGAAACAACTACATCATGCAAAAACCCTGCAAAGAAAATGAAGGGAAAGCCAAGAGCCCCATGCCAAAGAGAGAAGAATGCCCCTATGGAGAATGTGAACGTCAGCAAACTGAAGGGAATTTTAGGCAAAGACTGCTTCAGTCTCTCGAGGAATTTAAAGAGGACATAGATTACAAGCATTTTAATAATGAAGAAATGACAAGAGAGGGAGATGAGATGGAAAGGTGTTTGGAAGAGATAAGGGGTCTGAGAAAGGAGTTTAGGGCTCTGCATTCTAACCATCGGCATTCCTGAGACCGTCCTTATCACATTTGATGCATTTTCTCCCTGAATTCAGTTATTTTCTGTTATTAATATAGCTACCACTGGGTTCTTTTGGTGTGGATCTTCTTGCTAAATATTTGCTATCATTTTACTCCAATTCTTCAATATTCCTTTGATTTACATATGACTCTTGTTACCAACATCTCATCTTTTGACCCAATCTCATTCATTTAATAGGATGTTTCATTCATTTGCATGAGAAGATGCTCATTGAATATTGTAAAGTGGAAAAAATACATTGTAAAACATTATATATACACACATATATATGCACACATATAATGACCATTTATATGCACTATAATGCAAAAAGTCTGAATTATTATACACCAAAACATTAATAGTGACTCTCTGTGTGATCTGTACTTTATTTCTTTTTTTTAACCTATTTGTATCTTCTCATTTTCCAAAAAAATGAATATATATATATATATATGTGTGTGTGTGTGTGTGTGTGTGTGTGTGTGTGTGTATTATTTGTGTCACAAAAAGCTAAAATAAACAGACACAGCTAAAGAACTTGTAAATGGCATTTGAAAGGCAGTGAAAGACTTAATAAACTCTTATAACAGAGCTAGGAATATAAACTTTAAATCACCTCTGGATCTCTTAGCCAGAGGAATAAAACTGGCAATTATTACAGACACACTTGCTTAAGACCTGGTCTTTTCATGGGAAAACATTTGCCTCAGCGGGCAGCTGTGGAGAAGAAAGGAGTTGTGCTTGGTGGGCTCATGTTCCCACCTGTGGAGGACCCCAGCCCACCACGGAACATAGTGATTTGAGGGAGGGCCCTGGCATGACTCAACCCCTGACCCAGAACAAGTCCAACAGGCAGGGAGGTAGGAGTTTCCAGGCCAGTCCTGTGCTGGTGAGCTCCACCCGTCTCCCTCGGGTCCTGCCAAGTCTGCTGGGCTCTTTGCTCTCTGCTGGCCCCACTGCCGATGGGGCCCTGGAGCTGAGTGCCAAATCCCCACTGGAGTCCCCAGTGGGTTGAACTCCCCACTCTGTTTTCTGAAGCCTCGGTCTCCTTTGGAATGACACTTAACACAGGTGGGATTGTCCTAGGAATACTTGTTGTTAGCAAAACAGCCCCTTTTGGTTTTTCAGTGCCACAATTCCTCCTCTCCATAGGAGTCAGAAATGATGAGTCCATTTTGGGGGTGGGACTTTGATAAAAGGTTGAGAAAAAGATAGCATGCTGTAGTCAGAGTTTTTGCTCTAAATCTAAGGACTAAGGTTTTGTTTCCCTTTTCTCATGAAATATTCTCTTCCTGAAGGCTCCTGGCAGGCCTGCCTTACTCATTCAGAAGAGTCTTCAGGGCATATGTAAATTATACAAAGTGATTCAGGAAATAGATCTAAAGGAATAATCTCTCTCTCTCTCTCTCTCTCTCTCTCTCTCTCTCTCTCCTTTCCCCTGCTGAAACTTGTAAAAATTCTTTGTGAGACTAATATATATATAATATATAACATATTATTTATAAATATATAAAAAATATATGCTTTTAGTGTACATATATATATGTGTGTTATATATTTAGTGTATATATGTGATATGTGTTTATATTTTAGTCTTACAAAGTATATGTATATACATATGTATATAAACATAAGTATTTTATTTCTGACTGCATAAAATTGGCAGTAATCTATTTCTAGAGAAATAGGAAAGGGATCATTCACCAAATTCAGTCTATAAAATTATTGCAACATTGTATAACAGAACTCTTAACAAAGGTAGCTCCTTACATCTAGAGTGCTTATTAAAAGTGCAAAATTCAGCTGGACTGGTGTGGCTCAGTGATTAATGTCAACCTATGAACCAGGAGGTCACAGTTCTATTTCTGGTCAGGCCACATGCCCGGGTTGCGGGCTCGATCCCCAGTGTGGGGTGTACAGGAGGCAGCTGATCAATGATTCTCTGTCATCATTGATGTTTCTATCTCTCCCTCTCCCGCTCCCTCTCTGAAATCAATAAAAATTTAGTTTAAAAAATTAAAAATAAAATATTGAAATAAAAATTAAGTAAGAAAAAATGTATTATAATTTGTGATGTGATTATCTTCTTAAGCATGAAAGAAAATCCAGAAGTTATAAAGAAAACATATCAAAGGTCCAAAGACAAATAACCTGGGAGAAAATATTTGCAGTACCATGACAGATCATGGAAAAATATCTCTAGTGCCGCAATAGCTTTTACAAATGAAAAACAAAAAGAAATATAAAGCAGTAAAAAAATGTGCATTCTATATGACCCAGCACTTCTACTGTTTTGTATTACCATAGAGATATCGATACACATGAGCACAGGAAAGCATAGATAGATGTCTATTGTGGCATTGTTTTTAAGAGCCAAGATATTGAAGATAGCCTGTCATCGAAAGGGAAATTTTAAATAAACTGTGGTCTATCTATACCAAGAAAACTACACAGTAGTTGAAAAGAATGAATTTATTATATTGCTACATCTCCAGGATTATCCTATATAATAAAAGCCCAATGACTGAATGGCAGAACTACCAGAATGACTGGAACAACCATGGCCCCTCCCCCCAGCCAGCCCCACCCCCAATTGACCCCCATCAGGGCAGGCCAACTGGACCCCACCAGTGCACGAATTTGTGCACTGGGCCTCTAGTTGTTAAACAAAGACATTATATATTTTATGTGGCTATTACCACAAATAATAATGTCACATTAATGAATTACTTAGTTCATCTTTTTTTGTTTTTTTGGTTAATCCTCACCTGAGGTTATTTTTTTCCATTGATTTTTAGAAAGAGTAGGTACATGCCCTTGACCAGGAATCGAACCCGAGACCTTTCAGTGCTTGTGTCAATGCTCTAACTGCTGAGCACACCAGCCAGGGCTACTTAGTTTATTTTAATATACTTTAATCACACCTCCAATTTCAATTAATCTCCTCCCCATAATTAAACACATCAGTTTGATGATTATCCATCTAGAAACATATATTTCTGTTTTGTATTTTAACTAAATATTATAATATTACATTATGACTTTCAGGTGCCCTTCATTATAAATTATAAACTATTAGGCTCTTTGGTTATAAAGGAGACTCCTGTACAACTCAACTGAAATATGGTCTATGGTGGTTGTGCACATTAACATCTGCAATAATAAAAGCGTAATATGCAAATCGACCAAATGACCAAACAGTAGAACAACTGTCTGGACGACCTTCCAGACGACCATGCTATGACACCCACTGGCACCAGACCAGCCAAGGCAGGTGTGATGCGATTGATCGGGGGTCCAGCCATCACCCCATGATCGCCCTGCAGAGGGAGGCCCAGGCCACCGATCAGTGGGCTGTGGCAGGTGGGTGAGGCCTCCCTCTGCAGGGGCAATCCATCGAAGAGCCCTGGCCAGGAGGGCAGGGCCTACTTCTTTGGGGCAATCCATCGTGGGGCTCCTGGACTGTGAGAGGGCACAGGCCGGGCTGAGGGACACCCCCCTCCCGAGTGCACAAATTTCATGCACTGGGCCTCTAGTAGGTTTATAATTATTGTTTTATGCATTTGTCTTTTAAGTAATATAGAAAACAAGAGGCGTTATAAACCAAATATGCAAAACTACTTACTTTTATATTTACCCATGTAGTTACCTTTACCATTGTTTATTTCTTCATATGATTTTTGAGTTACTTATCTATGTCTTTATTTCAGCTTGGAAGTCTTATAGGATTTTGCAGAGGTAAGTACATACAAATGCGAATAAATATATTTTCTATAGTTTGAATGTAACTTACATTACTCAAACCATTCCCCTGTTAATTAACATTCAAATAATTTCTATGTTTTGCCCATTTAAAGCAATTCTGCCTGCAATTAACATGCTTGTACAGATATCAAATTTACTGGTATTTTTATTTCTATGGAATAGATTCTGGAAAGTAAGAATTATTAATCAAAAAGTATGTGTTCTCTTACATTTCCTAGCCTCCTTTGCACATATGTTGGGGCTATCAAATGTAAATCCCTCCCATTGATATGCCAATAGCAATCAAAGTTCAAGTACAACAGAAGGGTGTACACAGCACACATGGTGGAGCCCACCTGGAATGCCTGGCTTAGGTTATCAGGGAGGCTGTGCCACTGGACCCCACAGAACACCTACTACAAAAGGCCATTCTACTAAGCCCAGGAGACATAGCAGCTCTACCTAATACATAGAAACAAACACAGGGAGGCTGCCAAAAAAGGAGACAAAGAAACATCTCCCAAAAGAAAGAACAGAACAAAACTCCAGAAAAAGAACTAAACAAACAGAGACAAGCAATCTACTAGAAGATGCAGAGTTCAAAACACTGGTTATAAGGATGCTCAATGAACTTAGGTGAAGACTAGATGAACTTAATGAAAACTTCAACAAAGAGATAGGAAACATAAAAATGGAACTAGAACACATAATAAAGAACCAGTCAGAATACATGAAATGAAATGAAGAATATATTACAAGGAGATTAAAAATGGTGGCAGAGTAAGTGGATGCTACACAGACATGCTCCGAGGACCAAACTGGAATTACAACTAAAATACAAAAAAGAAATGCTGAATAATCAACTGAAGACTAACTGGAGAGAATCCTGATAACCAAGGTCGGAAAGTGGAGACTGCATAGAGACTAGTCGGAAGGGCGGAGGCGCGAAAGGGCTGGCTAGGATCCCACAGACAGCAGCTGAAGTTCCGGGAGAGATATCTTAGCTGTGGGGGGGGGTTGCCACTGAGAATTCTGGGGCCCCCCAGCAGAGAGCACCAGAACTGAGAAAGATGCTCACATAACATCTGCCTGTGAAAAGCTGGGTTGAAGTCTGCCAGGGAGAGACGGCTGGCTGGAAATGCAGTCACCGTCTTAAAGGACTAACATACAAAACTTCCTGTGCAGCCCCTCACCTTGAGCTCCGGCAGAGGGAAGGTGGTGAACTGGAGCTGTGTGAGCAGAAT